AGTGTATATAATTACAAAATAAAATGGTTAAATGTTGATCAAATAATTTTAGAAATGATATATTATACTGCTTTTGATATATTATACTGCTGGAGTAAACAAAAAAAATTGCACAGAAAGTATAGGCAATAAACTTGGATTCCAAGTGCAAATGACGAAAAAAAAGCGTGTCATTGCCTGACAATAACAAAACTTCTATCACACTTACAACTATAAAACAAAAAATTTAACATACGTGTCTCGCTTGAACGATGATACAGATTTCCCGTAAATTGTCAAGTAGTCATTTATGAGTTTCTTGTGCCTGTCGTAAGCTGATAAGTGTGCGTAAGCTGGAAACATCGTCAAATCTTTTCGCCTTCCACGATGTCACGCGATAAAACCACGTAAACTACTTTTCAGCTGACGCAACTAGACGCCATGAGCTAGCTACGGTCGATTTGAATGCTTTCAGCGTTTTTCAGTACTTGTATTCTTATTTTACTCTAATCTATTATATTCTAATAACCGATAAAGACAGAATAATGATTTCAAGCACTTAAAGAGCGTGAGTGTCCAAATTGATTGCAGCCTACGTTTAGGCCGGATTCATACCTTGACGGAAAAGCGGAAAGCGGAAGCCAATCAGAACTCGCAGTAGTAGTAAACGATAACATTTCGCTTGTCTTTCTGCTTCTGTCTTTCCGTGAATTCTGATTGGCTTCCGCTTTTTCGTCAAGGTGTGAACCCTGCAGGACACGATCACTCTTAAATCGAGTTCAATAAGGATCATTCCACATAAACTTGCATAGTCGCATAATCATATGCATAAAGAAAATTATCCAATTACATTCCTGTCATAAAGATAAATGTAAAATATATTTTGGATGATTTTCTTTATGCTTATGATTATGCGAATATGCAAGTTGTGTGGATATACCTTAACACCCGTAACTAGAAACTAACCAATCACAATCATTCCAATTTTTAGAGAAATACTTATGATTGATCAGTTTCATAACTACAGATGTTAAACCTGATTTAAGTGGATGCATTAGTAATTATCGTTCACTGAGCGCTCAGTGAGCTCTTGCATCTGATTGGCATATTCTGATTAGATCTAAAATTTTTTATATAATTATTTAAATAATTTTTATATAATTATATAATTATTTAATAACCGAAAATTTGCCCAGGATTGATGATCTTTAATAGTATTTCGTTGATGCCTTCGAATATTCCTTTCCTACAGTCGAATGAGAGGAAAATACTCAACCATGTTTAGTCAATTTTTACAGATTACGGCATGTGATTAGTATCAACATTTACATAACATCAATATAAACGCTCCTTTACTATCCTCTCTCAGGTTTCTCTTTTTTAACACCAAAAGTCGAGAGTATTTGAATTATAAAGGTTGCAACAGACTTTTGCATAACCAGCGAATCAGAATCTTTCCTCCCATTCCATAAAAAAGAATTTCGATTGGTTGATTCCTTTATACACTATGCATTATGCGTAAATCTGTATTGCAACCATAATTCAAAGGACCTTCCAACAAGCAATTCAGTAAAACAGTGATCATCTCCTTGTTTAACATTGGTGAACAAAGATGTAATAATGCACCATGTCACACTGTTGTTATGTGTCACTTCTTGTTGAAAGGCATCCAAAGTTAGCGAAGAATACCGTTTAGTTCACACTCTTAGGTGCAATTTGATTTTTCCGTTGTATCATATCTGAACGCGCGAACTTTAGATATGATTCGAAAATTTTATTAAAACTTCAACATCTTGGTATTAGAATTTTCGTTTCAAAATGGTCTCCCCTTAAGGGAAGAATAGGAATCTATCCTTAAGTACATTATGGTCTTTATCAAACTTTATATATATCAATATATATATATATAT